CATTGGCTGGGCCTGCCTGATTTTGAAGATTCTTGGGAGCCTTTTGACTTACTTCGAGACCAGTTTCCTCATTTTAACCTTGAGGACAAGGTTAGACTTTSGGYGGCGGGTAATGATAGGCCCCAATTAATGCCAGGAAGAGGAAAGGTCAACAATCAGCTAAGGGGAGGAAATAATTGAACAATTAATCACATGAGAGCAATTATAGCTGGAGAGAATAAGGAGAGTCTTGGGGCATTTATAGCTATGTCAGTTATGAATAAGAAGAGTTTTTGGGCATTTATAACTAGGCCAGCTGGGCATTTATAGAAGGAGTCAGTTATGCTATCAGTAGAGAATATTGTGAGTGTTTGGGAGAGCCGGCGGTATGTTTTTCTTTGAGTAAAGAATATTGTGAGTGGTTGGGAGAGCCGGCGGTCTCTCGAAGAACCGACCAACTGTTAATGTTTTCTGCTGAATGAATACTAGCTTCTTTTGTTGATATTCGAGTGTGTGAACGCTGTTGTAAGTCTGTGAACTGCGTGTCAAATTTCTGGGTCATATCAATTGGGCAAAATGGAGGGGTGCATCTGGGCCTTTTTGTGATAGGAGAATACCACATGCTCAGAAAATAAGTGTGGCAGAAATGTAAATGCTAAGATGGATAAGTGGAAAAAACTAGAAAGCATAGGATCAAATGAAGCCATCCATACAAAACCTAGGAGTAGCTCCAATAAGTGATAAAATGAGAGAAAGTAGATTAAAATGGTTTTGGTCACGTGCATAGAAGACCACCAAAAGCTCCAGTTAGAAGAAGTGATATGTTGCAAGTGGAAGGGGCTAGAAGAGCTAAGGGTAGACCAAAAAGGACATGGGTAGAAGTAGTAAGAAATGATTTAAGCACTAATAATTTAACAGTGGATATGGCTTTAAATAGAACGGATTGGTGAAACAAGATTCAAGTAGCTGACCCCATATAGTTGGGATAAGGCATGGACAATGACAACCAAATGCTAATCGCATGCCTTCCAACCAATTGTAATAAAATCTTTTACAATTTAGACCCAAAAATAGATATATAAAATGAAGAAGCAACCCAAAGTATTAGTTACCAAGAGAAAAGGCTATCAGTAGCTAACTTACCTGACTTGAGGCAGCAGTGTAAATCTTTTCCTCAAATCTTACAGCAATCTTTTTTAGTTCTTGTAACCCCTCTGGACCAGAAATTGGGAGGTGCTTCTTTAAAGTATCCATTCTACACATTAAAAAGTAAGTTATAACAGGTAAATTACTAGGGTTGGAGGTGCTTCCTTGAAAAGTATCCATTCTACACATGTTAAACAGTAAAATTATAACGGGTAAATGATCAGGTTTCCTGTATAACGTATTAATGATAAATATAAATTCCAAATACGTTTAACTAAGAGAAACTTGTTACAAATGCAGGTGCCAGATCAGAATAAAACTTCCAAATAAAATGCGAATTTACGTGGAATTCTACTATAAAAAAAAAAAAATCTAAACCTAATAAAAGCAATTCTCTCTAATGTAGTCTTCATCTGACTGCTTTCTTAAATCTACAAACAAGAAACTTCAATATTAGTATTGGTAAAGAATATGTACCCCATCTTACTAATAACAACTATCACGTTTACCAAAAAGATAATATCACAACTATCATGTTTACCAAAGAAAAATACTATCACAACTATCCCCTACTATAGTGCTTTATGTAGCATGCCAGGCTTAGGCTCAAGGGAAAACCTCGAGACAGAACCTTGGAAGCCCATGCCTCAAAAATATAAGGAGATGCTTTAGACCTTGAGATGTCCTATATTGAGGATGTATTTTGCATCCATCAATCAAATGACAATTTTACATTTAAGCAAATTATTAACTTATTTCAGTTAAAGATTAAGGTTTTTGCAACTTTAATCCATGAAGTAATGCCAACAATTCTATTGCCAATGAATCACCTTGCTCTGTAGGGCCCAAGTATAAGGCTAGTACCTTTCCATAAAAAATTTTCTGATATTCCATTAAAATCATCATAATATTTTAATTAAAAATCTTTTCCTACAAGAACAAATGGAGGATTCAGTGATTCAAAGATTCACTTCCTATTTTAATATGATCAACTTACAAAGTCACTATAAGTCTGTTCTTTATGTACCCTACTTGTACGGTGTAGTGTCCTAGGGGCAGTCTTGTCCTTTCACCTTGTTTATGTCATCATTGTCATCATCATCCAAGCCTTATCCCAACTATATGGGGTCGGCTACATGAATCCTGTTTCACCATTCCACTTTGTTTAAGGCCATAAATACTGTTAAATTATTGGCACTTAAATCATTTCTTACTACTTCTAACCATGTTCTTTTTGGTCTACCCCTAGCCCTTCTAGCCCCTTCAACTTGCAACAAATCACTACTTTTTATGAGTGTTGTTGATGATGGTCTTCTATGCACATGACCAAACCATCTAAGTCTACTTTCTTTCATTTTATCACCTATTGGAGCAACCGAGCAACTTCTAGGTCCCTTTGAATAACTTCGGCCCCGTTTGGCGCGTCTTTCCGCGCGGTATTTCGGCTGCTTACAAGCTAGGAAGACCAAAAATCAGTCTATTCCCGTTTGGCATGCGGAAGATCTCGCCGCCAAAAGACGGGGCGCCGAAAAGATGTAGGAAGCCCATTTTGGGCTGATTTCGGGAAGCTCCAAATGAAGCTTCCCACGTCTTCCGCGTTTTAATCTCATGCAGAAAGACCCGAAATGACACACGGAAAGATGCACGTCTGCCAAACAGTCTTCGGGCTGTCCAGATCTTATGTCAAAAGCTCAATGCGTCTATTGACTGTCAAAGCTACGAGAAGATCTTCTCAAAAAGACTTGCCAAACGGGCTGTTCATTTTTTATCCTATCCTTTCTAGCTGCTCCATTCACCCATCTCAGCATATGCATTTCTGCCATACTCATTTTTTGGAAATGATTCTTGACTGCCCAACACTATGCTCCATACAGCATAGCTGGCCTTACAACTATTTTATAGAATTTTCTTTTTAATCTAAGCAGAATTCACCTATCACATAAAACTCCAGATACATCCCACTATTTTTTACTCATAATGCTCTAATTCTATAGACAACATCCTCCTCAATCTCTCCCCTATTATGAATTATCAAACCAAGGTAGCAAAACAGGTCACATTGAGTTATCTCTTGGTCTCCAATGATCCAATCCTAATTGTATTGTACTCTGATTTGTGCTCCCATTATTATTAAATTTACAAGCTATATATTCTATTTTAGTCCTACTTACTTCAAAACCTCTTGTTTCTAAGGCATTTGTCCACAAGCTTAATTTTGCATTTAACCCTTCATTAGTTTCATCTTTTAAGGTGGTGTTCAGTAGTGTGTATATATCGTGAACGCGACCATTTTGGTCCCATCCACGGTAAGATATGGTGTTCTGCTATGTGCGAACGGCCCCCGTCCACAAAATAGCATGGATAGGGACGGGCCACACCCCAATTTATCATCCACAGTATTTTCTTGTGGATGGTCCACACTATGGTGTGGACAGTTTGTGAGAAGGTTTCAGTGTAATGCACTTGTGTTACATTGGTCCAATTAATCTCATTTTATTTAATCTTTTAATAATTTTTAATATTTTATCAATAACATAATAATTTTTAATGTTAATTCTAGCACAAGTCCAACGGTTCTCCTTCTCAACTCTTTTTTCATTATTTTTTAATATTTTTATCAATAAAATAATATTTAAAATATTAATTTTTTATTTTTAAATATTTAAAATAATATTTTTTAACTATTTAAAAATGCAATTGTTGCCTACATATTGATGCCTATTTTTTCAATTTATTTATCATATTAAATGCAAAAATTAGACATTTATGACCGATTGTGTAGATCTCCCATAAAATGTATATGAGATACATGGAATCAAAAAGTATGGTGTGGACCAGTCCACACCACACCTACAAACGCCATCGTGGGTGTGGATCTATCCACAGCTCAGAACAGTTGTGCACTGTGGTGTGGTGTGGATCTATCCACGCCCACCAATTTCTCATCCACACTACAGAACACCCCCTAAAATGATGTCATCAGCAAACAACATACACCATGGAACCTCATGTTCAATATGTTTAGTCAATCCATCCATGACCAGTGCAAATAAATAAGGGAAAAGTGCTGAATCTTGGTGAAGACATATGGTAACTGTAAAACCTAATGTGTCTCCCATAGGTGTTCTTTTGAAATATTTGAAAAAGGGAAAAAGGAAGAGAGAGAGAGAGAGAGCAAAAGAAGCTTTGATGGAAACAGGATTTAATTTGGGACGAGGATGGTGATAGATGTGATGAGGCGTTTGATCTTGAAGACTAGACATTATGTGTTATGTGTTAAGGAGGGGGGGGGTCCCTTGTTTTCTTTTGTAAGTTTTTGTGTCTTGTAATCTCCTGTTGTGGTATTTGGTTCGGGTGTAATCTTAACACCCTTGGTCAAACTCTTGCCAATTATAACTTCCCTGTCCACCAAACTCTTAAGCTCCACTTTTCCCCTCCTTAATTTTATCAATTTGTTGAGACAAAACTAAACTACTCTCATCCGCTTGATTCCTCCCTCCTCAACCCCGGACCCCATCCTGACCTCTAGATCTTCCCTTATTAGGGTCGACATAACCTCCTCTCCTACAGCTTGAAGCTCCTCCTCCTCCCTCCTTTCATCACCCTTCTTTTTTGATTCCAGAACTTTTAATTTCTTCCTCTTGTAAACTCTTTTATATTTATTGGAAGGTCCTGCCCCAATCAATCTGTCTTTTAGCCTTGAAAAAACCTTTGACACATGGACAAAGTGAGTCTTATTTGCCTCTTTGGCTTTCTTCACCCCTTCTAAAGATTCAAAGTCTCCTTCCTTGTGAACACGTCTTCTCCAACCTAAATAGACTCCAATCCTGCTGACTACAATTTCTGCCTTCTGGAACTCCTCATGTTCTAAAGCCGAGCCAGAATTGTCGTCCTTGTCCAAAGCCTCTTTCTCACCCTCAGCACAACGTCTCTTGATGTCAATCCCTTCCTCTCCATCCCTGTCTATCACTTCTTCCTTGTCCTCCCCTTCCCCCCTTATTTTTCGCTTCACCGCTTCCCGAGAAACCACCGCCCTTCCCTCTGACTGAATTTCTGAGCAAACTTCCCCTCTATTCTCCTTTTCCAAAACACAGAATAATACCTGCTTACTGACTAGACTCAACTTCTCAATCCTCCCTTCACCGTAGTGATTCCCCGGAACTTCAGTTGTGCTTCCACTTTGATCCATCTCCTCCCAGTTCTTATGCACAATCCATTTTCGTAGATCTTCATATTGAAACACATACCCAACTCTTCGGCTCAGATTAAATTTTCTCTCTTTCAAAACCCCCAGCCTGAAACGAGGTGTCTTCGAAGTTTCCCCAGCTTTCTTCACTGCATTGTCTTTCGAAACTCGAACCTCATTCGAGCCCTCACCTTCTTTACCTCCCTAAGACGCCTCTTCGTCTTCTGACAGTCCCAATTCCACTCTCTCTTTCAACTCCCCTACCCAAGGCCCCAAACAAATCCAAAGTTCTAACACTAGTTGTTGCACCCTCATACATATCCTTAATTAGGTCTATATACCTAATTAAGAGCCTTTCTCAGTCATCTCAGTTTTGACAAAACCACGCTTTTAGCTAGTTTTAGCATCCTCATTCTTCTAAATACAAGACATCTTTCATCAAAAAGAAACAAGAAAGACAATAACTCTTCCTTCTCTCCTTCCTTCATCTTCCTCTTGCGGAGGTTTACACCTCTTTGTGCTTAGAAGGCCTACACCTTTTGTGTTCTGAAATCTGAAGATTCTGAACTATGCCTCACACCTCCAGGTAGTAGAATGACGTGCATTATGCCTTCACATTTTAAATCACTGAACTGAACGTGTTTCCTTCAACAATTCTGGACTTGTTTGGGGCCTTGGGTTTAGGAGAGGTTGAAGGGAGTCTGAAACTCTGAATCTGTTTTGTCCTTTTAATTCATGTGTACATTAGAGCAGGTTTCTCTAGACTGGAATAGATCTGGTAGTAGAATTTGAGTTGTTGGATCCTTTGGATTGTTCTCATATGCTCATTTTTTTACAGTCCTTCCCACTCCTTCATTCTCCTTCAATCTTCCATGTGAAAGCTATTTGGCGAGGACCAGTACTACCACCAAAAGTCAGGGCATTCTATTGGAAGTTTTTTCACATGAGGATTAACACCATACAGTTTTTACGGAAGAGAAGGCCTAATTGAATCTTATCACCTAGTATGTGCTTCCTCTGCAACGCAAGATTAGAAAGTACTCACCACCTACTAATTTCATGTTCTTATGCTTCTAGAATATGGGAGTTTTTCTTCTCTCATTTTTTTTTGTTTTGGTTGTAGCTAGGCACCTCTAGAGATGGGAAACCTCTTAAAGGCCTCTTTCTTTTCACCTTTGAAGAAGATAGGAATGGTACTTCTGATAGGAGCAAGAGCTCTTGTCTTTTGAACATTTGGGAGGAAGAGAGTGTCAGAAGCTTCAAGMAAAAGACCCAAACAATGGAGGCAATAATTGAGAACAGATCAATTAAGGTAGCACATCGGATCATGCCTTTGGGCAGCAGCTCCTCAATGACCACAAATAACATTTTAAGAGATTGGCAAAGCATTGCAGTATCCTCCACAGCAAGGGATTCTGTACATATTAATTGGTCCCACCTACTAACTTCATTAAGTTCAACTTTGACGAATGCAACATAGGCAACCAAGGTGCATCTGGTTAGAGGTATCTTACGAAAATGAAGAAGGGCACATTATGACCTTTTTCTTGGGACCAAAAGACCATGGTGACTCCAATAGAGCAGAACTTTTAGCTTTATTGCAGGGACTCAGATTGGGCTACTCTATTCTGGAATGAGGCTTTAAAGTGGTAGTGAGACACTTTTTAAATGATTGTTCAGGCCCTTGGCTCTACATACATTTCTTAAGAGAAGCAAGATAGACGGGTATAAGGTTTGTTTAGACTCAAAGGTCAACTAATAGCCTAGCTGATACCTCAGCCAAACAAGGGGTGAAAAGAAGACAGTTATATTTGAGGAGTACGCCTTAGTCACACATACCACATGTAGAAAAGCATGAGTTAGGTGGCAAGAATCACCCTAAGGCCCTGTTCGATTTTCGGTAAGTTACTTACCCAGGTACGTAGGTAAGTGCATTTACCCATGTTCTTTTATTTCCCAGGTAAATAAGAAAATGACCATTTTAGCCATAAAATCCATTATTAAAAGGGGAATTTTTATCACATCCAAGTGTTGGCAACTTTTCCCCCAGGTGGGAAAGTTATTTACCCACCTAGGAGATGGGTATCACTTATCACACAAGAAAAAAAAATTTCCCTAATCCCCACATAAATCTAAAAAAAGAACATTGGTTTCTTGGTAACTTCCCCCCCTCTCAAAATCGAAAAGACGAGCATCCCCTATGGCCCCATTCACTTTTGGTAAGTTACTTACCCAGGTAAATGCACTTACCCAGGTAAGTGTTTCCCGTGAAAGACTTACCTGGGTTTGTGCATTTACCCATGTTCTTTTATTTCTTAGGTAAATAATGCAATGACCATTTTATCCATAAAAATCCATTATTAAAAGGGGCATTTTTATCCCATTCAAGTATTAGCAACTTTCCCAGGATAGGGGTATCACTTACCCGGATAAGTGATACCTAGGAAAATAAGCTTGCTCTGGTCCCCACATAAATCTGGAAAAAAGAACATGGGTTTCTTGGTCAATGGGAATCAAAATCCCATTGACCAACCTTCCCCCCTCTCAAATAAAAAATGTGCAAAATAATCTGCTTTAACAAATTATAATATAAAAAAAATCCATATTAGAAATATAATTAAATGTGGCAAGATATAAATCTTGAGAAATGGCATTTAGCTTGATAGCTTCAGAAACTAGATACAGAAGCATGATATAAGCATATAATATGGGATACCAGTATGTCCTAAATGCTATATTTTTTTTCTTCAAAAACAGAGGAAAAAAATAATAATACCATGCTGAATAAGTGAACATGGTTCACTGAGACATCACTAAACTATCAAACTCCGAAATTTAGCTCAGCTCACTAAGAAAAAAACCACGTAATTTTTTAGGAAACTAGTCCTAATTAACAAAATGAGCAACAATGAAAGAAAACAATAAAAAACAAACAACGGAACAGGATTTGTTCATAAACATCGAGGTTCATGTATCTACAGAGCTAGAAAGCTTACATCTTGTTTACGATCCTTTGCCTGGAATCCGGCTGTAGCTGGCTCCTCCAATCGCTGTTGTCCATAGTAGGCATGGAGGGCATGGCCGGTTCACCTTGAGTAGGTCTCCAATTATTGTTATCCATCGAGTTCTACCAGAAACCAACCCAACTGGGTCACTCTTAAATTCGGCTACATAGACAAATCCGGTAAGAATTCAGAAGGACGAAAAGCTTAAAAATCAATAGTAAAAGGAAAAATATACTGCTAAGAACATCACCACCATGGAACAGAAGATAAACCCTAGGTGGAAAAAAAAAATCTGGATATGGAGAGAACAGATAATTTTTAAATAAATCGAAGAAGCAAGACACCAAAGAGGAATATGAGATGAAATTGCAGTAATACCTGTAATATTATCAGGGGTTCTGTCGACTAGCTTCTCGTCATCAGTCTTCGATTCAAATGGAATTTTGGAGCTTTGAGCTTTCTTCTGGAGAGAGAAAAGGCGAAGACCGAGAAGAGAGTTTGGACTTTTGTTGGGCGAGTGGGATTTCGAAGGAAAGAAATAATTTTCAACTGAGAGGTGGACCCAGGTTGGAACAATGCCAGGCGAGCAGGTAACCTGTTTTTCGGGAGCAAACGGGATTTCTTAATGGGAAAATTCCGATACGTAGATACGTACCTAATTTGTAGGCCGATTGTCAATTTAATACTCGAACTTTATCGTCAATTAGAAGAATCACGTGATATAAGGTGCGGATTAAATATTTTTGAAATATTAAAACTAATCTTTATGAAAATATATAGACTATTTTACCCTTTTTTCTTCCTATTTTCTTAATCCCCTTTTTCTCTTCAATCTGGGCTGAACGAACGAGAGAGGAGAGGAGACTTCACTCAACTCCGACCTTTCTCTTCATTCCGAGCATGTCCATTCCATCCCTTTCTCTTCAAACATAGTTGAAGAAACGATAAAGGAGATGAATGACGAAGAAAGGTGGTAAGCTTCACCCCTAACATCTGTCTGCCCCAACTCCCCCAACATTGCGCACAGACTTCATCTATAGCCATCTTGTTGAAGGAATCAGAGATGGTGGGACCAAGGTTTAGCTTTAGAACTGCGCACAGTTTTGATCTGAAAATGTTTCGACGGAATTTGAAACGAAAGGTGGTTCTGATCTGAACCATTTTCATATGAGGATTGTGCGCAAAATGTTTCACCAGAAAATGTGCGCAAAATAACCAAAATCTTGTCAAGTGAATGCCATTGCTGGAACCAAATCGTAATTGAATTCAAACTTTGAGGGAAGCTCGAATTAGTTATTCGCTTACGAGCTTGGCTCTTGAGTTGGAATTGGTTGGAAATAACAAAATTTAGTCCCGACCCAATAACTAGAACCAAAATTAGTGACATAACGGCAAACGTTGTATCTTATCCTCTTTGAGTAAGAAAGGAGTGGTTTTAGGAATTGGGATCTCCTCACAAAGCGCTCCTCACATTCATATCTCACCGTGTTTTTGGAACATCTCCCATAGTGCGAGAGATATTCTGAATGTGCAGCTCGAGAAGATTGCTCAGCATCTATCCAGAATCAGAGTGAGTGTCCCAACTCCTTACGATTAGATTGCTTAACCAGTGTGTATGCTCGAGAGTTGGTTTTCATGTCCAACTTGGATGCAAAAGTCTTCAAATTCAGAAGACGTGTTTTCAACGTTTACAAGAAAGAAGAAGTGCATAATATGTAAACTTTATAATTCCACTATATATAAGTATATGGATGTAGTATCACCATCACTGGTTGCAGTATCAAAGCTTTTGAGCATCGACTCAAGAATTTTCTACTTCATTCTTTTATCTGTAGGCCATAGTTGATAGCGTTTATCTCTTTTAATTTTTCCTCTACTTTCTTTCCTTGTTACAAGAAAAATTAGTGGATTCTACTAGCAATGGTGTAATCCCAACGGGATACAGGTTTCCCGACCAAGTCAGAACCATCTATCATTACTTATGAAACAAGGTTGTCGGAAAGAGACTTAGTTCAAATGCTATGATGAAAGTGGACATGTACGCGTGTATGATGTTGAACCCCAGTTTCTTCCATGCGCGGGGAGATCAAAGAATACAACTACTTCACGTACAGGTTAAAGAAGTCGGAGAATGGATCACGGCCAAATCGGGTGGACAAAAACCCACGAGAAGGAAGAGGGTTTTGGAAGGCAACCACGGTGGATGAGGAAATTCGTGTTCTATCATCAATTCAATGGAGAGAAAAAAAGTAGCAAATGTGCAACAAAGACGAGCTGGATCATGCATGAATACAGCCTTGTCAATAATACCCAATCGTCATAGTTCGAACATTGGGTGCTCTGTGGAATCATCCATCACAAGAATAATAATCTGGGTAAGCAATATGATCAGAAAAAGAAAGCCGCCGATATGGTCTCTAATCGTGATCAGTCTTTGGAAACACGTAGAAGCTAGTTGGTCCAAGAGTTTTGAGAATATTTAACTGTAACAGTGGAGAATCATATGCACAAGACCAGCAGAACCAGTTTGAAGAGTGGACTACATGCAGTCAAAGGGCTATTTGGGAGAGGACGTCAATTGAAGCATCTCAGCAAGAGATGCTTCATAAGGGTGCATGCGGTGACTCAATCACCCAGGTTGTTGATCAAGATCATCACCAGTTGCAAATGAGGAAAGAGGGTCTGAGCATGCCTACGCCTAGACCTTCTTCATCTTCTTCTTCTTTACCAATTTTAGGAATAGAACAGAACGATGATCTCCTCTTCTTACTTGGAATTGATGATGATCTTTATAACTTTCAATGGACAAGGAAAACTTATCACTGTCGGACACATTTGATAATGATCAAGAATTCATCACTTCCCTCAAAATAACCGAATTGTGCGCAAAATAACCAAAATTTTGTCAAGCGAACAGCTGATGGGGTCATTTTCGTAATTTCAATTGGGAATTTATGCATTGCTCGAAATAGCTAATAGGTAATTTTGTCTTTTTGTCTTCTAATTGACGGTGAGTTAACGTTGGATACTAAATTGTCACAAAATGAAAGTTTGGGTACTTGATTGTTGCATTTTAAAGTTCAGGTACTAAATTGGCACTTGGCCTAAAGTACAGGGTACTTATTGGGAATTTTCCCTTTCCAAATTCCTAGTTCGTTCAGGATCAGGAGCGTCCTCGGCGGGTGAGTCACCCACGGTCCAGCATTGTCAAAGAGCTAGCCAATTGGCAAAGAATTGGGATCTGCTCCTCACACAAGGCGCCTCACACCGACCTCATAGGAACATCCCACCGTGTATTAGGAACATCTCCCGTACGGTGGGGTGTGCCCGTGAGGTCGGTGTGAGGTGCCCTGTGTGAGGAGCAGATCCAGTCCCATAGGCAAATCAGGACAATTGGAGTGGAAGATTGGCTCCAAGAATCCCTACTCGAGTTTAATGGTTTTCAGTGGAATCCAACTCTCATGTTAACTATGAACCATGAAAAACTTGCAACTAATCAAAAATCAATTGAAATCATAATTCATTTATAAGTAAGGAGGGAGAGTATAAAACTTTTGTTTAACTAAAATACTCTAATTTTTGAATTTGGTCACTCCTTAAATATAAGGATATAAATGTAATTTAAACAATCATTCTTTTCATAAATACATAAGGGGCTACACAAGATGGAGGGTAGCACATCCCCGACAATCAGCAAAACAAATAAAAAATAAAGTCAAAGGGTGCAAAGGTAAATTGGAAGATAAGGTGTTTGGTGTAGTAAGATGAGTCTCATAAGCCAACCAATCCACAACTTGATTTGCCTCCTGATACACGTGACTATATGTTAAGCCATTGTCGAACAGGTCCTTCACCTACAAACAACTTTGAATGATGCTTTTTAGTCTCCAAGGTGGGTTAGTCTTACTCTTTAAGCATGAAAACTAATTTTGGAGTCTCCCACGATGGTGATAGGATGGATATTCTTTGAATTCAAGGCTAAGTTATGGGCTTCCCAAGCAGCCCATGCTTCTACTTGATTTATGGTAGAGTAGCTGAGCTTATATGCTTTTTACTCCAACACTTTACCATAATGGTCCCGGGTGATAGAAGCAACAACATTTCCCTTCATTGATGAATGATGCATCAAAATTTATTTTGGTAGTTCCAAAATTTGGATTCCTCTAGAGGATCGACTTCCATAATTTAAAACCCTCATCCTTGTTGTTTTGTTTTTGACCTTCCCTATTCTCTGTAAATAAATTGAGAGCCTTGTCTAAAATAACCAGAGGGGGGTCTCCAAGTTGTTAAGGTCTTTGCAATTTCTGTTTTTCCATACACACCATAGAATGAAGGCTAGGTTTTCCCTCACTAGAGACTTTCTATTATCTAGAGTATTTCCTATTCTCTTCCACCAGTCCAACATCAATTGATTATTTTCACTTAGGCCTTTGAAGTTTGGGCTAACTAACATTCATATTTGTTTTGTGTAAGTGCAATTCCTAAAAATGTGATTTGTGTCTTCCTCATTTTCACAAAAGTCACAACAACCATCAATGTGTTTAATCCCCTATTCCTGAGGTGGATTTTGGTTGGGAGCCTATCATTTAAAAGAAGAAAAAGGAACATTTTTATTTTAGGAGAAGATTTTAGACCCCAAACAAATAATAACTAGTTTGAATCTTGACCTTGACCGAAAATTGAGGTGCATTTCAACATATAAGCTGATTTAACAGTAAAATTTCCTTTGGGGTTATAACCTCAAATTTGTTTATCTTCCATTGAGTTAGCTGAAATAAAGATTGGCTTAAGTTTCTACCAAACATGATTAGGGAGCACTGCAGAATCTTTTTCTTTATTCCAACAACTCCTTTCATGGTCTATCATATCCACTACAAAGAGGTTTTCATTTTCACTAATATCTTGATTTATTTCTTCAGCTAAGGTCTTCTCATTTATCTAGTGTTGATGCCAGAATTGATTGACCATTGTCTACCATCCACCGCATGCCCCTCTTTAGAAGCTCTCTAGCATGGAGTATCTCTTTCCATGCCCAAGAAACAATTATTACTCTTGACTGTCTAGAAATATTCCCTTCTTAGGTATTTACTTTTGATAATTTTGATGCATATGTTTTATTGATTATTTATTATCTTCCATCCCAACTTTGCTAAGTTTGCCTCATTTACCCAATTGAGCTTTCTTACTCCTAAACATCCCCATCTTTTGGGGGTGCAAATCCATCCCCATTTTTGGATATGGATGGGTTCCTTTCCATTTGAGTTAAACCATAATCCTCAATGGTATTGGATGGTATTTTATAGTAACTCATAATGAATTGTGGCATCATGTTTGTCATGGAATTTAATAGAGTTGGCCTCCCAATTAGAGAGAGGGAATATTTTTTCCAATTTGTAAGTTTTTGGACCATTTTTTTTATGATTGCAAAGGTATTCTTTGTCATCTCCTTGTGATAAAAAGGGCCCCCAAATAAGATTTTGGGTTGGATTCCAAGGGAATTCTCAGAATTCTTGCAAGAATTA